ATCAAGAGAAAGCCTTTGATCGAGTGAATCATTATTATCTTTTTAAAACACTTGAAGCATTCGGTTTTGTGAATACATTTTTAAAATACATGAAACTGATACATACTGGCACACAGAGTCTTGTACGTATTAATAATATCCTCACAACCCCTATACCGTTTCTACGTGGCATACGCCAAGGTTGTTCACTCTCCGGTCAACTTTATACTATTGCTATCGAACCACTTCTGCATAAAATAAGAACCAAGAGCTATATACATGGTGTTGAAGTAAATGACTCTGGTGGAAAACACGTGAATCTCACCGCCTATGCTGATGATATCAGCTTCTTTCTTACCGAGCAGTGCGACTTTTCTAATTTTGAGAAATGGCTGCGAATTTATGGGTTGGGAAGTGGCGAGATAGAACTGACACACCTCTGGGTATCGATTGGAATAGTGACGGGTTGAAGGTCCTTGGAAGATTCCTCGGAAATAAACATGAATACATAGCTAAAAACTGGGATGACATTACAGAAAAGGTTAAAACAAAATTTGAATGGTGGACCAAGTATGCACCAGCAATGTCATATAAAGGGGCACCCTAGTAATAAATCAGCTCGTCGCCTCAAAGTTATTACACCGGTTTATGTGTCTGTGTCCGCCGAAACATATGGTCGACTGCTTGCAGACTCTTTTTCGTGAGTTCTTTTGGCAGGGACGCCACTGGATCCCAGCGGAATTACTTTATATGTCAAACCATGCGGGTGGACAGGGGTTAATTCACCTCTCTTCACGAATAGCTGCCTTCCGTCTACAATATGTACAGCGATATTTTTACTCAGGTTTAAAGCATCCTAGTTTTATATTCACGGACTATTTTTAAGGCAGGTGAACGGCTTAAACTATGACAAACAACTATTTGTTATTACTCCACCCAACTATTTTACTTGTGTCTCATATTTCTATAGCGATATATTGAAAACATGTACATCATTAAGGAAAGATGAACCACATACTTACCAAGAAGTATGTG